GCCTCAGAAGAGACAGCAACCCCCACAGACACCTTGATTTTAGCCCACGAGCCCAGAGCAGAAAACCCAGCTAAGTGATGCCCAGGCCAATGACCTACAGGTAAATGAGGGCTATTGTAAGCCACTAAGTTTGTGGTGATTTGTTACAGAGCAATAGGAAACAAATACGGATTTGGGTACCTGGACGTGAGATGCTGCTGTAACAAATACCTAGCATGGGGGAGTGGCTTTGGCAATGAACAGTGGGAGAAAGCTGGAGGAATTTTGCAGAATGTGATAGGAAAGGCTAAGTTTCCTTGAACAGACTGTCTGTAGAAATATGGATGTTGAGGACACTGTTGGTGAAGCATCAGAAGGATTGATTAGAAGAGAGTGAGGACCGCATTATTGGAAACAGGAGCAAAGGGACCCTTATTTTATGCTGCAGGAAGTTTAGCAAAGGGGCGCCTGGGTGGCTCAGTCGTTAAGCGCCTGCCTTCGGCTCAGGTTGTGATCCCCGGGTCCTGGGATCGAGCCCCACATCGGGCTCCCTGCTCGGCGGGAAGCCTGCTTCTCCTTCTCCCATTCCCCCTGCTTGTGTTCCCTCTCTTGCTGTGTCTCTCTATCAAATAAATAAAATCTTAAAAAAAAAAAAAAGAAAGAAAGAAAGCTTAGCAAAACTGCCTGCAGTTATGTAGAATTGATAAGGGATGAACCTGGTATATAGCGAAGGAGATTTCCAGGCAGTGCGGAAGGTGCTTCCTGCTCTCTTCCCACTACTCACAGTAGAACCCAAGAGGAGACGGATAGAGTTACACAAAAATGAAGCAGGACTAAATGATTTAGAAAATTCTCAGCCTCGGGGCGCCTGGGTGGCTCAGTCAGTGAAATGGCTGCCTTCGGCTCAGGTCATGATCCCAGGGTCCTGGGATCGAGTCCCACATCGGGCTCCTTGCTCAGCAGGGAGCCTGCTTCTTCCTTTCCCTCTGCCTGCCGCTCCCCCTGCTTGTGCTCTCCCTCTCTCTATCTCTATCAAATAAATAAATAAAATCTTAAAAAAAAAAAAAAAAGAAAATTCTCAGCCTCTCCAGATGGCAAAAGATGCTAAAACTCAGAAGGGCTGCTGAACGTGTGGCACAGAGAGAAGGCCCAGTGTATGACTGCACCACCTTTTGTTAGAACCTCCAAGCGAACGAAAGGTCAGGACGTTCAGCCCCACCGAGGGCCCTTTAAGAGATCAGGGGTGTGGGCACCTCAAAGGTCTTCTCAGCTGAGCCAGGGGCATCTAGGAAGCTTGCAGAGAAAAAGAGAGACCTGTAGATGTGGCTTCTGTCTAGTGGGGTAAAAAGAAACGAATTCATACAAGATGCCCAAAGTTCTCAAGAAAATTATTTCAGCAGAAAGCCTGCCACCTTGGACTAAAAAGGGACAGTGAGAGTACACAATGGAAGGAGAGTCTTGGACCCCCAAAACTCCACTGGGGGGTGCAGATTGGTAAAACTACTCCATCGCAACCATGTCACCTTTCCTAAAAAAGGAAGGAGGGCAAGAGTTGGGGAGCTGTGTGCCCAGAAGAAAGAGGCAAGAGTGCCAGAGGATTCTTCCCAGGTCTTGAAGCTGAGTCCAGAGAAGTGAAACATTTACCTGGCTAGATTTCAAAAGCGTTATGGACCCATGGCTCCTTCCGACCTTCATGTCCCCTGTCTGAGATGGAATGTCTGTAACCAGTGTCCCGTGCCTTCCCACTGCCGTGTGCTGGCCGTGGCAGAGCTGAGAACCTGTCCCTTGGCTTCCCAGGCCCACGAGTGGAGGGGAACCGTGTCCTGGCCGCTGCACCTGCTGGGGGACACCCGGGAGCCCTCATCTGGACCTGGATCTGACTTAGGTTTTTGGACTTTCAGCTGATTCAGATGATTAGATTCAGATGATGCAATTTTGGACTTTGCACTCATACTGTAATGAGATGAGACTCAGGAACCTGGGGAGGGAGTGAATGTATTTTTCACATGGAAGGGGCGTCAACTACTTGGGGGCCAGAGGGTGGGCTGTGGTAGGCAGAAGGCTTAGATGAACTCCATGTTTCCTGCCTCCTGGCGAACATGCTCTGTGTGGTCTCCTCCCCTGGAGTGGGGGCAGGACCTCGGAATGTAATGGGATACCACTGCACTGGAGAACTTTTGTGGATGTAATTCATGTCTTGAATCAGATGGCTTTTGAGTTAAGAGATGGAAGATTATCCTGGGTCAAACTGACCTAATCAAGTGAGCCCTTAAAAGAGCTAAGAATAAGCAGCAGGCACTCTCCGACAGGCCTTAAAGAAGCAAACCGTCACTTTGTGGAGAGGGCCACATGGCGGGGAGCAGAAAGTGACCTTTTAGAGCTGAGGTCCTCAGTTCTGTGGCCCCAGGGAATTGAATTCCACCAACAACCAGGGAGCTTGGAGGAGGACCCTGAGTCTCAGATGAGATCACAGCCAAGGTGGACACCTCAACTGCAGCCTTGGGAGCCCCTGAGCAGAGAATCTAGTCAAGCCATGCCCCAAATCGGACCTATAGAAACTGCAAGATAATGTCTTTAATGTTTTAAGCTGCTATGGTACAAAGGCTTCAAAGTAGTTATTACAAATATATTCAAAGAATTTTTAAAAACTATATTCAAAGAACTAAAGGAAAATGTGCTTGTAACAATGAGTCAAATTTCAAACACAGAAACTGGATACTACGAAAAGGAACCAAGTGGATATTCAGAGGTGAGAAGTACAATAACTGAAATAAAATGACTGTGTAACCTCAGGAGCAGGTTTGAGATGGCAGAAGAAGTCAGATGAACTTAAAGAAGACAGATAGACTTTATTCAATTTGAAGAACAGAGGGGCAGAAAAAATAATGAAGAAAAAATGGCTTTAGACCTTCCCAAACTGATTTTAAAAACATTATATTCCCCAAAGCTCAACAAACCCTAAGTATGATAAACACAGACCACATCTAGACGTATCTTAAACCACTGAAAGCCAAAGACACATTGAAGAGAAAGAGAATTTAAGGTTAAAGAGAAAATCTTAAAAGCAGCAAGAGGAAAATGGCTCATCACATACAGGTAACCAAGTGATTAGCAGATGACCTCTCACTCAAAACAAAGGCAACACTCAAGGTGGTATAATCTCAAATTCACAGTGCTGAAGGTGGTGGTGGCGGGGGGGGGGGGGGGGGGTCCCTGTCAACTAGCATTCTTTATCCAACCAAACAATCTTCCAAAAAACTGAAGGTAGAATAGAAACATTCCCAAATAAATAAAAACTGAGATTGTGTTGCTAACAGATCATCCTAGAAGAAATACCAAAAAGTCTTTACACTGACAGAAAATGACACGAGGGGACTCAGATTCACAGGAAGTAATGAACAGCATGGAAATGATACAGATGTGGGTAAATATAAGAGACTGTGTGTGTGTGTGTATATATATATATATATTATATACACACACACGTATATATATATTTTCCTTTTTTCTATTATTTAAATAATTAAAATAATTCAAAGTAATAATTATATCATTTGATTGAGTTTATAACATATATGTACGTCTACAATAACACAGAGGAGGGGGTAGGAAATGGAGTTACACTAATAAAAATTTGCTAAATTTTACTGGAATTAACTCGATACTCTACTGAAGAAGATTGTGATAAATTTGGGAAGCATACTGCAATCCTTAGGGTAACTAAAAAATGTAGCTAAGAAATCAACCTTCTTAAGGACATTCTTATCCCCATGATGCAGATGAGGAAATGAGTCCAGGAAGGTGAAATGATCTGCCATAGCTAAGGCTGGCCCCCAGGACTCCTGGCTCTGCGCACCGGGACTGGGGGCCAATTCACACCTTCCAGTGGGTCAGGTTTAGACACCCAGGCTCAGATTCCCCATCCATCAGTGAAGGGAAATGTTCTTCAAAAAGTAAATTGCCGCCCAGTCTGTAAGAATACTTTCCTTGATACCCTAAAAATATTTTTATTAGTTTTCTACCCTAAAAATCACCACATGTTAAGTTGATAGCAGGAGTAAGAGGGATGACTCTCAAACCAAACTGATGAGCGGCGATGCCCAGTGAACGCACACAAAAATGCACGTTTAGCCTCCTTGCACTCTTTTTTTTTTTTTAATATTTTATTTGTTTGACAGAGAGAGCATAAGCAGAGGGAGAGAGAGGGAGAAGCAGGCTCCCTGCTGAGCAAGGAGCCCGATGCGGGACTCGATCCCAGGACCCTGGGATCATGACCCAGGCCCCAAAGGCAGACGCTTAACCAACTGAGCCACCCAGGCGTCCCCTCCTTGCACTCTTTATGGATTTGGTCAGCATCCATTTTACGCCTGCCTGAATTGTCTTCCCACGCCCTGGGAGGGGCTGACACCCCTTCATCCAGCTCAGACTGACACGCAGAAAGGGTAAAATATGCAGAACATAAAATTTCTCACTTTCACCACTTATGAGAGAACTGAGCTATGCTGGAAGGGGCTCATACCATAGTCCTGCCTGCCAATGAGCTATTTAATCCCATAAAGATAAAATAACTAAAGTACTTAATATTTATTTTTGAATAAACACCCACTGATGCTTATTGTGCTTCACATATTATAATGTGTTATTTATGAAACTAGAAATTTAATTAGCCCATACTGCATGCCAGGGACTAAACTAAGCCCACATCTGCTCTGTTATTTCATTCTCGTGACTCCCTTCCATGCTTGGTTTCATTATTCTCATTCTACAGAAGAAGAAACCGAAGTTCAGAGTGGCATCAGATTGATGCTAGCCAGGTAAGTAGGAGTCCTTCTGGGTGATTGTTAAACTGGACCCCCCAGAGAAGGCAGCATGCTTTAAAAAAGAGCCCGAGGCCACACAGGTTGATACTTTTTAGTCAAGTACACCTGTGTCTTCATCGCTCACATCTGATTGGCTACAGAAGCAAAGATCTGCAATGTCTTCCTATTGTTCTTTAAATTGTTCACAGTGATGTCATCAGGTTGACAAGATCCCAGAAGTGGATCTGGGCTAGTTCAGCAGCAGTTACTACAGCACAGAACTGAACACGGGTGTAAGGACCAAATACTGTTAATGAACACATTTGAAAACTGTGTTTGGTATAGCACAGTACATTTCTCCTGGATGCCAATGTGTAATTAAAACATAAAATGACACGAATGTGTTTTAAAGTCGCGGAGGTGATTTCTGAAAGCCCCCCAGCCATGACACAGCGAGGCGTTGTCTGGAGGCTACCGTGTGCCAGAAGCTGATGGTGACTCGCTGAGTCGTGCTGTGCCTTTGAGATTTCAGCTTTGGTTAGTCCTCGTTAGCTAACAGAGACATTCGCTGGAGTCTTGACTATGGTGGTGACACATAACCAAATAGCATTCCTTATTTAAATAAACCTGGAATATCTCAACAATGTGAAGGAATCAATACAATGTTCCCAGTGTCCATCTGTCTACGCCCGAGAAAAAACTAACCCAATGTTTGAGGTGTTGTCAGTTTACGTAGAGTATGCTACGTGAGTCTAATTTCCACCCACGCAAACATCGTAATGCCTGGGAATCCTTGCAGACACCAAAAATAGAATATTTACCTTTTTTGCCAGGGATTGTAATTAAAATGCATGACAGAGGAACAAACATCTTGATAGAAAAATATTTAAAGGTTTTAATTCTCTGAATACCAAGAGTTAACATTTTATGACTACCCTTTGAAAATAGGGTATTTAGGAGCAATTCTGAAGTTTTCAAAATCAGTAAAAAGCTTCTTAAATCCAACATCAACTTTCACAGGTTGTAAGTAACTTTCTTATCAAAGGAAAGCAGCCAGCTTTGGGGTGGGTCTGTCACTGGACTCTGCTAAGTCTCTCTTGGGCAGAGTCCGGGGGCCTTCCCACTCCTTCCATGAGCTCCTTGTGCCGTGACACTTTATCACATGTGTTCCTTGAAGAACCATTTCTGATGTTCGGAGTCGGTGCAGTCCCGCAAGAGGGGTACGAAACTGTCACTACTGAACGTCTTCCTCTCAGCCTGAATGCATTTATTGGACTGTACATGAAATAACGAACCATCCTACAAGAGATAATAAACTATGGATATGTAAGAGAAATGCAAATAATGCCCCAGAAAATATCTTTTTCCTTACAATGTGTTCTTAAGAGCTCAGGTGATTTTTATCACTTCAGAAGCATTTAGTGAGCTCTAAGTGTCTGCCCTGCGCTAAGGCGACTCGGGACCATGCGTACATAGGGAGGGCCAGGCGTGTGCAGGTGTGGTAGGCTCCCCTGTAGCTGGAAGCTCAGCTCCAGGGGCCCCAACTCCACCGTCAGGGCCGGTGGTGCCACCTGCTGGCCACTCTGGGGATCTGTCAGACTCCATGTCTCCTCCCTACTGCTCTTCTTTTCGTTCAGGGAAATCAGGATCAAAGAGATCTCTTATTAACCTCTTTCACTTCCCTCAGGTCAACTAATTACATCCCTGGTGATCTCTTTCTTTTAGGTTTTTAAATGCAGACACAGGAAACTTGGCTGTAGTCCCAGCTCAGCCAGAGAACAGCTGGGTGAGGGGGTAAGTCACCAGCGAGGACATGGGTTCTGTGGAACCATGCCCATTTCCCCAACCCCAAAGATCATGGTCTTCTTTAATGCCTTCTCTTCTTTTTCTCAACTGTTGCTGAGTTAACTCAGCAAGCCTCTCTCCCGGTCCTGGAGTTTTTTTCCCCTCCACCTGTCTCTGTTGTAAGCTGTACACCCCAGGGAACTTCATCGTGGCTGAGGAGCAAATGGGCAGAATGAGTGACATATCTGTTCTAGGGAAGGAGAAACTTTGGAAATAGAATTATATGCAGAAGAACCTCAAAAATATTAACCTTTAAAACCCTTAAGAGAGCTCCCAAGTAGCCCTCAGAGTACCAAGAAAGAAAATGATTAAATACAGCCTCCTTTCTCCCACCCTGCTAAGGAAACGTACTGTTCCTTAAATGGTCACTGAAATTTAAGATAAAATTTTAATGACATTTCAAACCAATTTTATGATTTCTAGCTTGCATGACTCTTCCTCGAGGGCTTACAAACAGCTTCCAGTTAGAAGAAAAAAGAGAAGGAGACGGGGGCAGGCGCTGCAGAGAACCACAGCCGGGGGTGTCTTCCCTCTTATTTTTAATATCAGATGGATAGCACCATAGTGCAAGGCTTGTCCAGGTGGCCTGCAGATTTCAGTGCTAATCATAATATCGTCTATAGGAAAATGGACTCTAGCTTCTAATCATACTTAGAATTAACCCATTTATAAGCAACAGAGGCCAATCTTTCCATCCCTGGAGCCAGGCTGGGAATGAAAGCTTCCTATGGAGATAAAAGAGAACTAATTTTTTCTTGTGAATTATTTTTTTTGGATTTATTCCCTCATGTGCTTTTTCGTGAGTCAAAGGATCTGACAGATTCACGAGTCCCATTACGGCTGTGTGTGTGTGGGCGGGGCGGGGGGGGGGGCGGCTAGTGCCTCTCAGGCCTGAAATAATACCCAGTTTCAAATCCACAATAACTATTCTGATGGAGAGCCAACTCCCTCAGAAGGATATTTTCTTATCCTGCAAGTAACAGCTGATCCTTGTAGAGCTTCATGGTTTCCAAGGACAATTTCTGCCACACATCTAGTCCTCTATGATCGCTCCCATTTTACAGCTGGGAAAAATGAGGCTTACAGACATGGAGTAGCTCATACCTGGGTCTAACCTCACATCCTTCGTCATTTCAACCCCATTTCATCTTCGAATGTGTTTGCAACAGCTCCTGTTTCCATTACTGTGGCTCCAGGTTTAAGGAGGGTGGGACGACTGGACGGGAGCCAAAGCGCTACTGATGCTGGGTGCTGATGCTGGAAGCGGGACCCCAACCACACTGCTAGCACCTTGGGGGAAGTCCTGGGTCTCCTGTCCGTGGCTGCACCCCTGACACCCGAGAGGACTAGGCTGGGGAGCTCTACTTCTACTCCCCCCTCGGCAGCCCGTGGACCAACAGCACGGAAGGCAGGAGACAGCTCGCTCACCTCCTGCAAGATGAACTTCTGATTCTCTGGGGCAGTTTCCTGGCAGAGATGCATGACGAGGGCATCCGTTCCTGCCTCCACAGTGATGCAGGCCTCTGGCTGGTGGGTGTTATAGCGTATTTCCTTCTGGGACGTGTACTCGAAAAACTAAAAACGGAGCAACCAACATGCACCAGTTACTGTCTGATGTGGAAAGAGGGAGATCGCTGGACGAGAACCTGGGGAGACTCCAGGTTGGAAGAAACTCTAATCCCACTCCTCCGTCTCTAGGTGTCTGCCACCTCATCTCCTCCGTCCTCCACGGGCCCCGCCCTGCTGGTGTATCCGCCTGCTTGGGCTGGGGTCCTGTTCCAGGCCACAGACCTTCCAGGACTCGCTCCCCGGCCCAGCCTGAAGCTCAGCACTTCACCCAAACAGACCTGCCCAGGCCACCGGCAATTGCCCTAAACACTGCTTTGCACAGCACTGTGTATCAAAACTCATAATTCTTTTTAAGCATTAATTCTAAGGAAGGCATCTGAAATGCAGATCTGTTGTTTTTTTTCCTTTTTTTTTTTTTTTTTCTGACAAGAAGTTAGTGGCAGGGTCACTTACAATTGCAAAGACAGGCAGGCAGGGACTCAGTTATAACTAAATAGTAACATAGCCGCATGAAGGATTATCAAGAGGCCCTTAGGAATGATAGTCTCAAAGGATGTCTAATAACACAAGAAAAGTATGATGAAGTAAGTGGAAATAATGGGATAGAAAACGTATAGACATTATGATAATAACTATTTCAAACAATAATCCAAAGGCCTTGCATACAAAAAGATGGGAAGTAAATACATCTTCATTCTTATGACGGTTGCTGGGACCTGTCACTCACTTACTGCTTCTATTTTGTATTTTCCAAATGTTCTGCAATAAGCATATATTACCTGGATCATGCAAAAAATATCAAATGTTTTATGTTTTATTTTTAAATTTTTTTTACTCTGATCTTTATTATTAAATGTTTAATTTTTTTAAAATGGAGAGATTCCTACCAATAGTCCCTTGAGCATAGAGCCTCCTGCTGTCCGCTGTCCCTTGGCCCAAGAATGTCAAGCTAGAGAAGCAGCACCTACCTGGTTCTGACCCATTCCATGACAGAGGTACAGAAGGACCTGGTGTCCTACGATTTGGTTTTCACTGGGAGGGTTATAATCAAAGCAGTAATCTTTCAGTCCTTTGTTCTGGAGCTAAACAAAACATAAAGGTGGCATTTTGGTCCAGATTTATATGCAACATACGATCCCACCCAAGGCTGTGAAGGTAATGACTCCATCAGAGAGGAGTGTCTGCCTCACGAACTGAACTTAAGGGTAAGAGCCCCTTGCATTTCAAGTTTAGAAAGTGCTTTCCCATTCTATACCATAGGCAAGAAGCATAGCCCCCGTTTTAAGATGACAAATCTGAGTTGCAGACAGTTTAATTCTTTATGGCCTGAAAGCTCGTATCTCTCCAGTTCTCATTAGTGAAGCCTCATTGATGCACTAGTCCAAGCACAGCTGGGTTGTTGCCTCAAATATGTCCCAAGGACGCCTGCGAGTGTGCATCTGCAAAAAGATATCCCGACTGAGAGACTCACCAGTCCACAGATCAGAAGTCCACCATTCTACACTACAAGAATAGCATCATACAGAGCCAATGACTCGCACAAGGTCACACAAGTAGAGACACTTGCGTCTGAATCCAGGACCTCAGCTCCAAGTCCACTCTCTCTATCACTCAATGCCGTCTAATCTAATGTCATCTCTCAGGTACCTTTTAGATCCAAAACCCTTCAAACATTCTAGGAGCAAAAAACCATGCTTCCTCTTCCCTTTCGGGAGCCTCTAGGGAAAGACACATACCTTTCCAAATCCCTTTCTGGAGAGTTCAAAGACCCCTCAACGAACTCCTTGTGAACGCCACTCCTGTCCTGGCCCTTGTCCACCCTTGACTAGTCTGTTTCTGAAGATAAGACTCAGCTATATAGAAAGAAGTTTCCACAGTCCACCAGCTCATAGAGCACAGACTTCCGTGTTCTTAGAGTCTCTTTGCTTTGTGAATGAATCTGGGAACGGGAGATGTTTAGAATAATCAGAGCATCTTAGACTTGGAAGGGTTCAAATGTCATCTAGCCATGTCTTGACCACCAAAGGACCCTGACCTCAAATGAGCTCCCTATGTTCAGAAAGATTTGAAACAAACCACAAAAACACTAAATGAGAGATGGGAACCTCTGAAGATTAAAACTGAGATTAACTCACCAAGCTAGCTATGTCAAGTTGGTGAGACACAGAAGAAACATTAAATGACTTTAGAACATTCCAAGTTTTTTTTTTTAACTATCCCATATTTGATTACATTTTCTTAGTGAACTATATTCTATAAACAGATCTGCAAAGAAATCTTAAACCTCATTCAGTATCACACTGCCAGTGGTAATGGTGTGTTATTATTCTGAAACTACTTTAAATATAGTTTAAGATAAAGCAAATAATATGTGAATATTTTTTGAAACTAAGATTTTCAGTGTAAGAAAAAAGAAATACAAATATCGGGGCACCTGGGTGGCTCAGTCGGTTAAATGTCTGCCTTTGGCTCAGGTCGTGATCCCGGGGTCCTGGGATCGAGCCCCGCATCGGGCTCCCTGCTCAGCGGGGAGCCTGCTTCTCCCTCTCCCACTCCCCCTGCTTGTGTTCCCTCTGTGTCTCTCTCTGTGAAATAAATAAAATCTTCAAAAAAATAAAAGAAAAAGAAATACAAGTATAATATCAAAGAAGAAAAAAAAATCCTGTAAGACTACATTTGAATTTGAGGTATCCGTATGAGCTCACGATTTGTTTCTCAAAAATATGCATTGCCTTTCTCTGCCCACTGAAAAGCTGTAGTGTTGCGCTGTCCCACGTGGTCCCCACTGGTGGTGTGTGGCCACAGGGTACCTGAAATGGGACTAAGTCCACACTGAAATATGCTGTAAAGATAAAATACACAGCAGATTTCAAGACAGCATGAAAAGAAGTAATGCATCTCAATAAATTTTTACATCAACTACATGTTGAAATGCTAATATTGAGGATATATTGAATTAAATATGTTATAAACTTCACTTGCTCCTTTTTTAAAACATGGTTACTAAAAAATGTCCCATTACTTATGTGGCTAGCATTACGTTTCTGTTGTGGAGCGTGCCCTAGAGACAAAGACCACCGCTGGTGTCCAGACTGTGGGCTCTGACCACAGCTCCCCGCGGAAAGGGTCGGGGCTTCCGGGAGGCATGGCAGCAGATGTAGAAAATGAGTGTGACCAGAATCAAGGAGGCGATCAAACCACTATAAGGAGTCAAGACCATAGAAGCCAAAATAAAGAGATTCTCACAGCCAAAGATGGGCAACCTGAACAGATCAAAGAAACACACACACACACAACAGGTTAATTGATTGAAGAACACTGGCCATATAAAAACCCACTGGTTTACAATGATGCTCAAGAAAAGAAAAAGCCAAGAAGCAAATGAGCCAACAAACAAAAACAACCCATTCCGCCCAGCTGGAGGAAAGTGGAGTGCCAACTCTTACCCTAAAAATAGGCAAATAAAGAAAAAGACTTAAAAATGTGTTATGCCTTTTCTGAATGAACTCTAAATTTCGTAGACATCAAACTGTCCTGGTTAACAAGGGAACATTCTTCTTTACAGAAGAAATGAAAGGACTAGAAAAAGCACCGTTTGGCAATGCCATTTGAAATACGGGTCTAGGGCCCGCTTTGGCAGCATGTATGCTAAAATTGCAACAGTACGGAGAAGATCAGCGTGGCCCCTGCGCAAGGCTGACATGTAAATCTGTGAAGCCTTTCATATTTAAAAAGAAAAAAAGAAATACGAGTCTAGGCAATGATTATCAACGGCCACCAAAAACAGGAGAGAGAAGGTTGAAGTGGCCCCTGATAGCAGCTGGTCCAGGACAGGCTCCCTCATCACTACAGGCAGGATGACCAGAGGTTAGGTGCTCCCCCCCATGACGCAGTCGGAACACAGGGCACACCCGTGAAGCGCTCCTGCCATAAAAGGTCAATTCCCACTCCAATCAAACCTTTAGACCTCATTTCCAGTTTAAGAACTGTGGGGAGAGGCACAGTTTAAAAGACACCACAGGGAAACAATGAGGTAACTCCAAGGGTGAGACACTCTACGGGACAACAGATGCTGTTTTTTCAACAGGTATTAGTAAAAGGGGGGAAGAAAGCGAAGAGGTCTGCCTCAGCTGAAAGAGCCATGGGAGGAAAGGCATGGCAGCCAAACACAATGGTAGACCGGGTTTGGATCCCAGTTGGAACCAGCCAACTACCCCAAGAAAGATATGAAAAATTGGGGGAACCTGATAAGGGCTAGATAGTGAAGGATATGAAGAAATGATTGCTCCTCTGGGTGTGATAATGGTCTGTAGTCCTGTAAGATCATGTCCGTACAGACGTGCATGTGACAGTGACCAGGAGTGAAATGACAGGATGCCTGGGGTGAGCCTGAGCAAAGAAAAACGAGAGAGGATGGAGCAGAGGAGACAGAAAGCAAGAGTGGTGGGCGCCTGGGTGGCTCAGTTGGTTAAGCGACTGCCTTCGGCTCAGGTCATGATCCTGGAGTCCCTGGATCGAGTCCCGCATCGGGCTCCCTGCTCGGCAGGGAGTCTGCTTCTCCCTCTGACCCTCCCCCCTCTCATGTGCTCTCTGTCTCCCATTCTCTCTCTCAGATAAATAAATAAAATCTTTAAAAAAAAAAAAAAGAAAGAAAGAAAGCAAGAGTGGCAATATCATGATGATTCTAGATTCTTCGGGACAGGGTTCCTTACACCATGCTCTCTGCTTGGACATTTTCACAAGGAAAATTGAATTTAATGCATTAATGGCCTGCTTTGTACTTATTCTGTGTGTGTGATTATTTATTTAAGGTCCATTCCCCTAACAGACAATACACTTCTTAATGGTGGGACAGTGGTTGTCCTTCCACCATCAAACCCCCGATGCCCAGAGCAGTGCCTAGCACAGGGTAAATTCCACATAAATATTAAAGTTGGAGTATTCTGAAAGTTACAGATACTCTTGAGAAGCACAAATCTGTTGGGTGAGTAGGGGAAAATTTCATTAAAAGAGGCAGAGACTTAAAAATAATCAAGAGACCGCACATATTAGGGAGATAGGTGTTTATGGTGTTTACTTGTTTTTTTTTTTTAGATGACTGAAGATGTAATAGGTTCTGATTTAGTTCACAGTTGTGGAGAACTTACATTCCATGCAATGTGCTTGCAATTTTCTCTTTTTTTTTTAGTTTCAGAGGTAGAAATTAGTGATTTATCAGTTGCATATAACACCCAGTCATCACATCACGTGCCCTCCTTAATGTCCATCACCCAGTAACCCCATCCCCCAACCCACCTCTCCTCCAGCCACCCTCAGTTTGTTTCCTGGAGTTCAGCGTCTCCTATGGTTTGCCTCCCTCTCTGTTTTCATCTTATTTTATTTTTCCTTCCCTTCCCCTATGTTCATGTGTTTTGTTTCTTAAATTCCACATATGAGTGAAATCATATAATTGTCTTTCTCTGATTGACTTATTTCACTTAGCCTAATACCCTCTAGTTCCATCCACATCATTGCAAATGGCAAGATTTCATTCTTTTTGATGGCTGAGTAATATTCTGGTGTGTATGTGTGTGTGTGTGTGTGTGTGTGTGTGTGTGTGTATACACACCATATCTTTATCCATTCATTTGTCGATGGACATCTGGGCTCTTTCCATAGTTTGGCTGTTGTGGACATTGATGCTATAAACATTGGGGTGCACGGGCCCCTTCGAATTACTGTTTGTACCCTTTGAATAAATACCTAGTAGTGCAATTGCTGGGTCATAGGGCAGCTCTATTTTCAACTTTTTGAGGCACCTCCATACTGTTTTCCAGAGTGGCTGCACCAGCTTGCATTCCCACCAACAGTGTGGGAGGGTTCCCCTTTCTCCACATCCTTGCCAACATCTGTTGTTTCTTAGGATTTTGATGGATTCCTGTCTCACATTTAAATCTCTCATCTATTTTGAGTTTATTTTTGTGTATGGTTTAAGGAGATGGTCCAGTTTCATTCTTCTGCATGTGGCTGTCCAATTTCCCCAACATTTGTTGAAGAGAATAGCTTTTTTCCACTGGATATTCTTTCCTACTTTGTTGAAGATGAGTTGACCATAGAGCGTCTTGCTTTGTATTTATTAGACTTCGAGAATAGAACACAGGCACTTCTGTTCAACACCACACAGCAGAGGAGACCTCCCTAAGTTAGTGTAGTTCCTCACAAAAGCCAAAGGCACTGGACATTTTAGTTGACTTCATCCCAGAAACATTTCTTTCAGGTTCTTTAAAATAACAGAAGTGACGCTTCTCCTTCCACTATTGCCTTTATGAATCCCTGAGTTGGGGATTATTAACCGGTCCAGCCACTGAAGCTTGAAGTAATGTGACATTGGACATGGAAGCACTAAGTGAGCCTTAGTTTCCTCGTCTATACAAATGGGAGGCTTATACTCACCAATTTGGAGATGGCTTCTAGTGCTGACAGTCTGGACCCAAGGCCCAGACGTGGGGAGAAGGAAAGACAGTGCATGAATGCAGGGAGGGGAGGGAGGGAGAGGAAGGCCAGCAGTCCCCATAAAAGGGACCTGTCTTGGCCAGGATTTGTCGATCAGGGAAGCCCCGGCCCGCCACAGGCCCGCCTCACTCACCATCCCGAAGAAGCCAGGCCTGTCTTCAGGCACGTGCAGTTCTGGGTACACGTTCTCCAAGAACCACCTGAAGTCCTTACACCGGAGCTTGGCACGGAGCTGCTTCCTCTCGGTCACATCCCCAAAGGGTTCCTGAGAAAACAGCAAAAACAGTGAGTCCCTGCGGGTCATGAACTTCCTGTCAAAGCCCCATCTCCTCGGATGTTCCCTTCCTCAACAGCATTTATTGAACACCTACTGTGTGCTGGGCCCTGCACGGCCTCAGACACAGCTACATCACCGTGGCGGGAGAGACTGTTACACAGACATCTGCCTTCTCGCGTGTCCTCGCTGCAGGCAGGTGTGGCCGGCTGTACAAGGGAAGGACACAAAGCGCCTGGTCGTGAAGTCAGGGAGCCGCCGAGTCCTGGGGCCGCGTGATCACAGACCAGGGAACATTCGTACAGTACGTACACCATGACGTGCTGAATTACTGCTGATACCTGAGCATCCACTTTCAAACACAGGTTAAGTATCCTCGATGTAATCATGCTCAAAAACCTTACGTGCTCAACACACTGAAGTCGGCATATATACTTAGAGCGGTGAGTGCAAAGTGCCACGATGATAAATACTTGCAGAAGGTTCGTTTTCTGGACCAGACCGATGATTAAGAACTTCCACGTAACTGAATAAAAGCAAGTGTCTATTCAGCATGGCCAGGGGCGTGATGCTGAGCGCTGACATATTACTGTCCATGCACTATGACGCTAAAGTATTAAAATTTGACAAGCTAAATATTTAGCAAAATGGTAATGATAGGAAAATGGCTGAGTAAAATTTCAGATTTTTTACTTATTTCCCAGTGGTTCTTTCTTTGGTGAGTCATGGCGTCCTCACCTTCAACCAAATACCCATTTTAACACTGGGTCCCGGGCATCCAGACAAAAGGCATATGCGGTGGCCCTCTAACACGTTATTCTTTGGGAACCCTCAGGAAAAGGGAACTGGGGCTTCCAGACTGGGCAACGGGAAGGAGCGGATGTTTCCACCCTGCAGCCTTGAGCAGGACAGAGGAAGCCACGACCCTGGAGCCCAGAGGCAGAGGGGGGCCAAGGGGGAGGTCAGGGGCAGGTCCACAGGGCTCTGCAGAGCAGGGAGAAGGGTCCCTGGGAGGGCACATGCCCCAGGCTCAGCTCTGCCTGCATCGCCCATAAGGCCTTGGGCAAGCTCTCTGAGCTTCAGTTCTGTCATCTAAAAAATGAGAATTTCATAGCTATCTTGAAGGGCTGCTAAGGATTCAGAAGAAGAGATTTTCATCAAGTGGCTGGAATCGAGAGGTTTTAGAGCATACCTCATCTTGCCAAGCGGCCCTCTCAGTTATGCAGATGCTGGTGGGCACCCTGTCCCGGGGCCTGCAGAGCTGGCCAGCGCAGAAGCAGTGGACCTGCTTGCTGAAGTTTATTTGTAACCCTAGTATCAGTACTTGTGGTTCGACCCCTTCACCGTCATTCACAAACACGCGCAGAGCGGCCGAAAATCGCAGTCCCATGGGACGCTCCTAGCTGAGGTCACATTTCAGCCCCATCCTGTCAACAAGTGTCCTGTTCAGGGTCCGCCTAGTGCCACATTTTCCAGGTTTTGCTGCTCTGTGTTGGTGACTTCACTGGTCAAAAGCCCCCCGAGCACGGCACTGAAGGGCTGGCTAGCGTTCCTAGGTGCAAGAAGGCTGCGCTGGGCCTGACGGAGAAAATACGTGGGTGAGATGAGCTTCATTCACGCGTTACAGTGCTGTTGGCCGTGAGTCCGATGTGAAGAATCGACACTGTGTACTTCGTAATGTCTTCCAACCGAGATACACACGAAACCAAGTTATGTATTGATCAGTTGGCAAACATGTCAGCCTGCGAAAGGCATGCAGGAACCTGGCCCTGTTGACCTCCAGGAGCAGTGGTTCAGTAGTCTGGAAATCAGGGTTGGGGCTGACCGCACAGACCGTAAGTACTGTGACCAATGAGAAGCAACTGTAAGTATTATTATAAGCGGAGGAATAAAGGTTTCCCATGCTGGTATCATGGATGCCCGATTTATTCTCTATTTCTGGAGCCAGGTCCGCTAGGGTGCAGAGGCCAGCCGGGGTGCAGGCAGGCCGGGGAACTCACCAAGCGGGCATGCGGGTTGCGATGGTAGTAGAGCTCTTTATATTCATCCATCCACACTTCAGCGGCTCGGACGCTGTTGGCTAGAGCCTTGTTGCGGGAGTAGGGAGCTTGCTTGGGGAAAACGTGGCCAACGTGAGAGCAGGGGTGTGTCTCCAGGGTCCCACCGCACTGCCAGATCTGTGCACAGAGCAGGGAGGAGGCCGGTGGGTGAGTGGGGGGCGGGCTGCTGGTCCACAATGCCCACAGCCAGGAGTCTGGGCACACAGACGTCACAATGAATGCTGCCAGGGCCTCACCCCCCAGGGGACAGGAGGCCACCTCCCCCAGCACACGCAGAACACAGAATGCAGTCAAAGAGCAAGAACACAGCCCCGAAGACGAATAAGCCATTGGAAGTGAGACCTCCAAGTCCATGCACTAAAGCTCATGCACTTGACCCACAGGAGTACCCATAGCTGACCTCACCAGAACCCATTTACTCATCATGTAAAACACAGGCTCTTTACCTGGTCTCCTAGCCACAGAAGATAGGAAAGTGGCAAGTAAGAAGAGAGGTTTGGAAGGGGGAAAGGAAGAGCTTCTAGAGGCAGGCAGAGTAGCCTGACACCTAGGGAAGAGGCAGAAAGACCATTAAAAGCACACCCTAAACCTCAACAGGCTGAGTTGTCTGAGACTATTTCATGCGGGGGCAAATGGCTGGGAATACCCCGTTGTCCCCAGGATGTATGACCAGGGTACTTAGAATGGGGGGTGTGAGTCTTCAGTGGAGGGCCAATTCTTATGAACTCTTTCTAAGCAGGAAACCATACAAAACATGACTGAAATTTAAAATTTTCTATTAAAAAGTATAGACATTGACATAACTTTTTGATACTTCAAAATGCAGGATTTGGTGAACTGGAAACCCCAATGAAATGCTGGAGGTCTCTCCAAGGGGCATCTGTGGGTCATACGCAGCAGAATCAGTAGGTGGGCTTATTCCAAAAAGCAGATTCCTGGTCCCTACTGAAAATCCATCAAACCTGACTTTCTGGAGACTGTACCTATAAATCTGCCCTTTTTAAGCAAGTCTCCCTAACAATTCTTGTATGTGGCAAAGCTGGAAAGTCACTGTACCAAACAGGGTACTTCATGAATAATTAAGCAGATCAAGGCTCCAAAAGATGGAATCGGGACACAGGGGCCTGTGTTTGAGCCCAGGGTCTGCCACTCACTATCTGGGTGACCCTGACCCAGTTACCTCCCCTGTCCAGGCCCCAGCTCCTCCCAGTTGTAGTGAGAGAAAAGAACTAGGTAACTTGGAAGGCCCTTCCCTGCCCCAAATCTATGAAAAGTACATTTTTTTAAAAAAGGTTCAGACAAGAAGACAAGCATGTTTATGGGATGTGTGTACCACTACCATGATCTTTCAGCACTGTCAGATAAAATCTGCCAACATGGGGGAAAAGTCCACCAGGGTCTCCTGGAAAATCCCATCACTCCCCGAGGGAGAGACAGAGAGACAGAACAGGTTAGAATGAGTCTGAAGAGAAGACTGGAATACTTACCCTAAAGGAGAATTCGAGGTTTTCTCCGCCCCAAACTTCCATTCCTGTGTCATAAGACCCCAGATATTCAAAATATTTCTTACTCACAGCAAACAGCCCTCCAGCCATTGTTGGAGACCTAGAAGAGTGTGAAAACTGTATTGTAGTGTGAGTGGCAGGAAGCCAGCACGGCTGAACTCCTGCCTGCCCCGAGCCCTCCAGCCTGCCCATCCATCTCTAAGTACATCCTGAGTTCACACTCCATGCCAGGCACTAAGCTGGGCCTGAAGGCATAGATGTGTCCCACAGTCCCTGCCCCGGGGAAGCTCATAGACACCTCAAGTGGCACTGTGTGTAAGAGCACTCAGGTCAAGTCAGAGCCCCGGGGGCACCCAGGAAGAGGCCTGGGGTGGGGGGTAGGGCTCAGCTTGAAGAACACAGGGGAGTTGGCAGAGAAGAGGAATGGGATGGTTCTCCAGGAAGACACCAGCATGAGCAAAGGCCTGAGGGTGAGAGAAAACTTTGTCCTTCTAGAAGCACAGACAACAAGGAAAGTCAAGGAGAGAGACGTGCTCCCCAAGAGGATGGCTAGCACCAGGCTGCGGTGGCCTTGGCCGTGCAGTCACAGGGCGGGCAAGCTCGGATGCCCTTAGGGCTATAGAAGACCACGAAAGGCAAGTCCATCATCTTAAAGCTCCCCAGGGCCCGTTCCTCTCCTGCATGAGTGACCTCCTCTGTAGGACCCAGACGGCTAGCATTGGCCTGCTTCTTCAGCCGGCCTGATGTTCTCCTCACCAGCCTCCTCTAGAACCACTACAGGTTCCAGAAAGGGCCCAAGGCTTCTGTCCTACCACAGCAGAAAGCTGTAGGGTCAACACACCAGGAGATGCAGATGCAAAAGGTCGGAAATGGAGACCTATACTTCATTAAGAGTCTAACTGTCTGCAGATGTTAAGGTCTTCCAGCAGCACTTCCGGCCCTTGACAAAGTTTTGGCTTTCCCTGCGCTCCAAGCTTGGGGCCAACGAGAAAAGGGCAGCAAGATTCCTTGTGGAAGGGAAGGCTCTAGGCTACAAAGCACTTCCATGTGTGTTATTCCTAAAAGTCTAAGAAGTAGGCAGGGTGGATATGCATGTACCTATTTCACAGGTGATGAAACTGAGGCCCAGGGATATTATAGGAAGGGAAGGGGAGTTGCCCACGACATTCCTGAGTTCATGTGTACACATGTGGTGGGGGCATGGGAGTTCATGTCAGCATCCCAAGCTGGATATGTGACCCTAGATGGGATCCTTCCTACTCTGAGCCTCAGTTTACAAAAATCCGTGAAAGGTTGGGTAGGATGTCCCTCAGGGCTCCTACAGAAACCTGGGCATCATCCAACCTCTCCCTTCCCCATTCTCCTTCAGCCTCCCTCAATTCTTCCACTGCAACATCTCTGGGGTCCTCCATTCCCTCCATCTTCTCCTGCACCATCCTTCCTGCCTAGAAGACTACGATGCCTCTTAATGATGTCCCTGCCCCCTGCCCCACCCCCTGCAGGCCCCTCACCACGTGGCACCCAGCAACCTTTAAAGAATGCAACAGGCAATGGTAATTTCCAGCTCAAATCCCTTCGGCGGCTTCTACCTTCTCAGGGTAAAGTCCAAAGCCCTGTCCTTGGCCTTTCAGGCTGGACGTGGCTTGGCCCCGTTCATCTCTCTTCCCCCATCTCTCAACACTGTCCCCACAGGCATTTCCCTCTGGCCAGAAGTGAGTCATCTCAGGGTCAGAGCTCGGGTGGAAGATCCAGAAGCCCACCTGGCAAACATGGGTGCAGATCTAAGACACCATTTCCAGCTTGGTACACCAGCAATAAAGCTGATGTTTGACCTCCATCTGCCTGATTCCTGTATCTGCCTCCCATCTGGTCCTGAACTTGGAAGGAGAGGAAGAAGCCATACTATTACTTCAACACCTCAAAGAGTGAGAGCAACTGAGCCCCCTTTGAGCCCACTCTTCTCAGACCCAGGCTCACTCACTGGCCAAAGGTGGCCGATTCAGCCCCAGACCCACCTATCCCCCAGTTGAAAAAGGGCCTGACAGCATGTTCTCAAAATGTTAAGCTTGAAATTACCATATGACTCACCCTAGGTATACACCCTCAAAAATGGGTAACACGGACTCAAACAGATAACAGTACCCCAATATTCACAGCAGCATTGTTTACGATAACCAAAAGGTAGAAACAGGGCGCGTAGGGGGCTCAGCTGGTTAAGCGTCTGCTTTCGACTCAGGTCATGATCCTGGGGTCTTGGGATCGAGCCCCGCATCGGGCTCCCCGCTCAGCGGAGAGCCTGCTTCTCTCTCTCCCTCTGCCTGCCTGTCTGCCTACTTGTGATCTCTCTCTCTCTCTGTCAAATAAGTAAAAATCTTAAAAAAAAAATAAAAAAGGTAGAAACAACCCAAGTGTCCATCAGTAGGTGAATGGATAAACAAACATGGGTGTATATACAGTGGAATATTATTCAGCCATAAGAAGGAATGGGCTTCTAGAAGAACCTTGAAAACATTATGTTAAGTAAAGGAAGCCAGACACAAAAGGATAAGTATTGTGTGATCCCACTTAAATGAGCAATCTAGACTAGGGAAATCCATAGAGACAGAAAGTAGAGTAGACAGGAGTTGGAGAAAGAGAGAAAGGGGAGTCATTGCTTGATGGGTATAGAGTTTCTGGATAGGATGATGAAAATGTTCTAGAAGTATGTAGAAGTGATGGTTATACAATATTGTGAATGTGCTTGACGCCACTGAACCCTCAAAAATGGTACAAGTGGGAAATTTTATGTTATGCACATTTTACCACAGTTTTTTAAATAACAAATCAATAAAATATACCAATATAAAATTCATGTGTGTAGCGAAGATTTTTAATAAAAGTAAGCAAATGCTCTGGAGAAAACAAGGGAGCAACAGCCAACCAGCCTCCCAAGGGCTGACTCCCTGCCCCAGCAGCCAGATGCGACAAGGCATGCTCCAAGAGTGAGCGCCTGGAAGTCACCCCTCACCTGATGACATCAATGGGGGACCGCATCCGCATCCTCTCCCTCTCGGGGACCACGTGCCACGTGAACACCAGCCTCCAGTCGAAGCCGCCGATCTGAGGCTCCCCGGAGTTGCCCAGGTACTCAAACGTGTTCCAGTCGATCACATCGATCACAGGGCACACCACCGCCGACTCCTCTTCGTGGATTCTACGAACACCAGGATGCCCCATGTGCCTCTCCGCGCAGAGAGGTGGCCGGGGGACCATCTCTGGAAGGGAGCTTGGGGATGAACTCTCCTCCTCCTTCCTAGCCCGTGTGAGAAGGCCTGCGCCTTCTCTTGCAGGTGTCTGCAGCCATGTCAGGCCCTGGCTGGTGCTCAGCAGAGGGAATGCTCAGGTGATGGGGGAAGCTGAGGAAGGAAGGATTCTGGCCTGAAGATGGAAGGTCCCACAGCTCTCATGTTCTGAATTCCATCTATGGCTATTCTGCATAAACTTGAATCCCTCCATGAAAGTCGAGACATGTGAAAATCAAAGGTCACTTTTAAAACAGAAAACAGATTTTCAGTTTCTAAAGACGGCAAGAGGTTTCTTCATGTAATCGCAATGAAGCATCTTCATGTCAAGAAATAATTATCCCCCTTCAAAACAGAGATGCACCCAGACCAGAGGATCAGCTTTGGAACTCGAATAAAAATTCGAATCCTGCCCCTTATTTGCTGTGTGACGTTAGCCAACTCACCTAACCTCTCAGGGCCTAATCCCTGTGGGTAACACAGGGGCATTGATACCTACTCAGAGGGTTAATGTGAGGACTCCCTGAGGGAATGTTTGTAAAAGATGGTTGACAGAGAACCTGGAACTATTGCTATCCTTTTAATTCTTGTTATTGTGCAATGTTCTGGGGTATTACAGCGAAAAACCCTGTGACTTCCCGCCGCAGATATCAGCCCGCATGCCTGCTTCGGCGCCTCTCCAGTCCCGGCTGCAGACCCAAGCATCCTTCAGCACGCTGCCATGTCGTGTCGCTATTTTGCCTCTGACGGCACACCAGGAAAGATGAACTGGGACTAGGCTGTGTGTGAACACTGGATTTCTCTGGGTTACATTTCAGGGGCTTTTCTCTGGGATTTGAGACCGAAAAATCCTAAGTCACACAGAGCAAGGGTGTGAAGAAACAGAGATCAAGCAGACTTGAGCTGTGTCTTTAGAATAATACCAGAAAACCAGAGGGGGTTTTGTGAATATCACACTTAGGTAAGAATTACACTATTAGGTGAAATTGCACTGTTTGGGATAGATTGCATGAATAAAACCCGGGAATTCTCTAAAGTGAGGGAGACGTGGACCAGGTACCTATCAACACCCAATTCTTTAAATAAACTGAGGGTGCTCTTAAAGGGCTTGAGGGGACCAATGGCAGACCCGCTGGGCAGGTTCAAAGAAGCTACTTATCCCCTGGCAGAGACAAGAACTTGTGACTTGGAATCAAGCTGGTCAGAACCATGGGGAGCGGGCGCCTGGGTGGCTCAGTTGGTTAAGCGCCTGCCTTCGGCTCAGGTCATGATCCTGGAGTCCCTGGATGGAGTCCCGCATCGGGCTCCCTGCTCGGCGAGGAGCCTGCTTCTCCCTCTAGCCCCACCCCCTCTCATGTACTCTCTCTCTCTCTCATTCTGTCTCAAATAAATTAATAAAAAAAATCTTAAAAAAAAAAAAGAACCATGGGGAGCCTAATTTTTATAGGAAAAGCAGAACTGGGGGAGCCAGCCTTGGCATAAAGGCCCCTGGAGCACGGTCACACAATGAGCAGGCCCAGTAGCAGTGCGCCCCACAGCGGGGGGGCGGGGCAGGCGTGCTTCTGGCATCTGGGGCAAACCATTCTTTGTTGTGCGGGGCTGAGCTGCACACTGTGGGCTGTCCGGCATCCCTAGTCCCCAGCTCAGAAAAACGCCAGGAGCACGACTCGCCTGACTTGAGAACCAAAGAACATCTTCTATATCCAAAAGCCCCTGGAGGAATGGGGTTACTGTTCCTGTTGGACCGTCTAAGGGACCAGTGCGTGCCAATTCTGGTGCCCACCGAGGTCCCTGGGGAGCTCCGGAAACATCCAGAAGCCCAGGCCCACCCCCAGAGATTCAGATCCAAAGAGTCTGCCGTGAGAACAGGAGTTGGTATGTTTTACCAATTCCCCAGATGGGGTGCTTTTGTCTGGAGATACGGAACAAGGAACTTGTCTGTGGACAGGACTGCCTTGCTGCCCTCAGGGGATGGGCTAGAGAGGAATTCTGGGCAGCGTTAGCGCATCGGCTGCCTTTAGACCGGCCTAAACGCAGCCAACTCTGTGCACATGGGGAGGGGGCAGAGGGCAAAACCACCGGTCCAGGTTCCAGAGAGAACTCTTAGCTGTCACCATATTCTAAATAACCTCAGACTCCATCACAGGCTTGGGGAACCCTGGGTCCTTGCTGCTAGTGAAGCTCAGCAGAGCTCAGGAGGAGAAAGAGGCAGCTGGGGCACCCACAGGGGACAGGACCGAGGACAGTGGAAGTGGCAGAGCAGGGGACAGCCTGGTCTCACACAGGAAGGGAGGCAAGTGGGTCCCCAGTTCTTCCAGGCAGACTCCGGCAACCAAAGCGCTAGAGGCCATGGGAAAGCAGTTTGCCAACTGCAGAGACTTTGGTCCTCTGACCCTTCGCCAGCTCCACAGGGAGGGACCAAATGCAGACCCCCCACCTTGGCCCCTCCTCCCCCACCTGGAAGAGCTCCGAGTTGGCCAGCCCAGCTCCTGACTGCTATGATGCAGAATCGGGAGAGTAGGGAGAGAGAGAGGGAAGAGAACAAAAGGCCCGGCGACTGTAGTTTTGGAGGACAGGCAGATTGGGAGGGTCAAGGTAAGACACTGTGGGACAGTAGGAGACATGCCCTTGAAGACAGGACTGTATTATGACTTTTCATGGCTCCATAAAATATACATATATTTAAAACTATATTTTACGACTATGTTGGTATAAGGACGAACACCATCCAGGCTAAATTCATTACTGTACAGTCATTATTGATACTCATTTTTTCCTTCTGATTGAAAAAAACAATTACTGCAAAAACATTTTTGTGGGTCTGTTAAAGGTTCATGGGTCCTAAGCATTGTAGGCACTAGGTATAATGGATAAGACAGCCTTGCTTGAAGGAAATACGCCAAAATATATATTCTTTAGCAGTGCAATTCTATAGGATTGATTTTTTTTTTCTTGGTTGATCATACTTTCTAAGGTGTTCCACACTAAACACATAAAATAAGTAGGAATAAAAGCAAACACTCATAGGGCCTCCTACATGCTAGCATGTTCTAAGGACTGTATGTGTATTAGTTCACTGAATGGCCTCCGCAGCCCTGTGGGGCACGGACTGTTATCATGCCCAGTGATAGAGGACTGCCCAAGGAGCATCTGAACCCAGGCGCCCGGCAGCTCCCTATGCCCAGGTAAGAAGTTTCTGCTTCTGCACCATGTGGGGCCCCCGGCTGCACACTCACCTCTGTAGCAGCGGCTCAAGCCACCCCTCGTGGCACTCACAGTGGCAGTCCAGGAAGGTCAGCACTTCGCCTTTCGCCACGGAAGCGCCCAGAAGCCGGGCTCGCACCAGGCCCTCCCTCTTATTGGCACGGATCAGACGCACCTTGGGCAGCCCAGACAGCTCATCGGCCAAGCGCTCCTTCAGGTGTTCTGGGGAGGCAAGCAAGGCAAGCAGGGTCACTGCCACACATCCCGAGCCATGTCCTTCCGGGGCCTCGCTATCCCCAAAAAAGAAAACTGAATAGACAGAAGCCTCCTTTGCTCTGCACCTGGGATGTGCCCGCAGAAAGGCCAGGGGAGGCTGGGGCGGAGGAATTCCAGAACCCCGGAATGCTCCCCTTCACAACACATGCACACTGTTTGAAATGGGTGCATATGGTATGTGGATGTATTTCAACAAAGCTGTTACCCCCTCAAAAATACATCACACCTTGATTTGTGAACATTTAAAAATGAAGAACACAAAAATTGCTCAACCACAATTTTTCAGAAAAATTGGCTTCATATAAACTTGGTTTATTTATGTTAATTATGTAATACGTTATAAAATTTTATGTGGAATTAAGTTAACAAATTTTATTTATATTTATGTTAACGTAAATTTTCTCAGGAACACATTTCACTGGACACGGTAATAGTAATAATAATGGCAGCTCACACCAGAGGGCCTCCTGTGCTAAATACTGTCTAGGGGATTTATCTCTCAGTCACGCGAGCCTTATAACTTTCCCATGAGGTAGGCACTACAACGATCCCCATTTATAGATGAGAACACTGAGGCCAGGGAGGCTAAGTAATGTGTCAAGGTCCCAGAACAAGCGTGCTAAGGAGCCAGGATTTTAACCCGGTGGCCCTGGCTTGAATCCTCAGGCTTAATTAACACTGCCTCCCAGAGCTTTCTTGTATAATCTCTCATCCTTGTGAAACAAATCCAAAATTTGGCAGGAGGACGTGCTCATCCCATTTTGCAGAAGAGGAAATGAGGCTTTAAAAGTTGAAAGGTCGTGCCCTACCTGGCCCCAGGACTTGTGACTCCACACACACACACCGGGACTGGAGGCCCTGGTTCACACCCCTCCGTAGGTCACGTGAGGTGGGTGGGAACCCATCAGGCAAAATAAAAATAAGAGGATCTACCCATGTTGATGTGGGCTTTGTCTGAAAGTCCTCAACCATCAGCAAAAGGGAAATTTTTTTTTAAAGAGTTTTTATTTATTTATTTGACACACAGAGAGAGACAGCGAGAGCGGGAACACAAGCAGGGGGAGTGGGAGAGGGAGAAGCAGGCTTCTTGCAGAGCAGAGAGCCCGATGCGGGGCTCGGTCCCAGGACCCCAGGACCACGACCTGAGCCAAAGGCAGACGCCCAATGACTGAGCCATCCAGGTGCCCCAGCAAAAGGGGAAATTTTATGAACTGTTCTAGGTTGCTTCATTGTTTGTAAAAATGTTTCTCTAAATATTCCTGACACTCAAAAAAAAAAAAAAAAAAAGCATTCATTGGTTGATTTTTTTTTCAATCCTAAATATAACTGCAAATAAGCTGACAGCACAAATAAGGGAGGTGACTTCCCAAGCAAAGCTAATTAGTGGCAGTGCCCAGTAAACATACACGAAATTGCAGGTGCAAAAAAAAAGGGGGGGGGGAGAAAGAAAAAAAGGAAATGCCTGTGTAACCTCCTTGCACTCTTTATGGATTTGGTCAGCATCAATTTTATGTCTGTCTGAATGGTCTTCCCATGCCCTGGGGCGCTGACACCCCTTCATCCAGCTCAGACTGACACGCAGAGAGGGCGGCAGGGAGGGGGGCAGGGCAGGGCAGGGCTCCTATCTCATTACAGGCTGAGCGGGCATGTTGCCCACTCTACAAGTTACCACGATGGGGAGGGAGCCTCGGCCCCACGGCGCCTTACACTGGCATCTTCGAGAGAATGGAGCTGCATGGGGAGGGTTTCATCCCGTAGCCCTGCCTGCTGAGGAGCTGTTCCATCCCATGAGGACAAAATAAATAATCTGATCTTTGCACTCTTCTGATTTAAAGGGACACAAATAGAGTACCTAGACATTTTAGAACAGTGGCCTTGGGCTTTGGGGTTTTGCAGAGCAGTGAAAACACATAAACAAAAACACTGAGGAGAGACAGACATCTGGTCCCGGCTGACATGGGGCTTCTGTCCTGTGCACGATCTCATTTATTCCTCACCACTTTCTGATATAAGTGTGGATAAATCCATTCACAGATGAGAAATCGAGGCTCGGAAAAGACAAGTGACTTGTCCCAGGTGCCATGACAGGTTCATGATAAAGCTCACCTCAGGCCCAGGTGCCCTGACCCCAGAACTCAGTGCCAGGTGGGCATCACTCCGCATCAAGCCCCAGCCTGGCCTGCATACTGTCATGGAGAAGGCCAGCTGAGGCCGAACACACGCTCTCTCCGTAGGTGCACACGGCCACTCATCATATAGCTTCCCGTTCCCAGCCTCCCTTGCAGCTAGGTGTGGCCAAGTGACCCCGTTCTGCTCAGTGGGATATGAGGGCAACTAGGTCTGGCTCCCCAGCCCCTGGAAACCCTTCTGCCAACGGGAGTGAGCAGAAGGTGAAGAACCAGCCTGGAGCATGCAGACAAGGCAGCACAACATCCTGGAGAATGTGGAGCTACAGGGCAGAAGGAACTGGGGCCCTGACGCTGTGAAGCCCGCCACACCAGCCCTAGACAGTTACACAAGATGTGTGATGTGGGAGACATCATTTTTATCCCATGTAAATCACTGTTATTTTGAGTCTCTGTGAGAACAGCCAAACACACCCCCCAATTAGGACACATACTCCAGGCTTTGAAGTCCGACAGGCCAGGCCCGGAGCCTGAAGCAGCAGATGCCCAGGAAGCAGGAGCTGCTATCCTTATGCGTGGCCCAGGGATGGTAATTTGGCTTGAAACGGGCTATGGCCTTGACATGTCCCCTCAGTTGAGCCTGCCCTCACTCAGCTTGTCACGTGGCACAGGGCATGGCCATAGCAGCCCCGATGCCCCCTCACCCATCGGCGATGCCCCACGGGGCAGCGCAGACACCCCAAGACCGAGTGACCTTCCTGTTCCCTCAATGGCCCTCAGACGGCTCCCATCAGGCTCCTATTTTAGCCTACACCCCTTATGGTGGCCCCCAGGGCCCTACTGGCCTGGCTTGCCCACCCCTGCAACCGCGTCTCCCATGCCGCCTCCCCACTGGCCGATGGTTGCCCCTGAGGAATGCCTGCTCACCCCAGCTCCTTCCCGCACCTGTGGCTGCTGGGCTGCCTCCTTCTCTACATCCCAGCTTCTGGCTTAAAACCACCTCCTCAAGGAGGCTTCCTGCCCTCCACCAGCTAGCGGAGGGCCTGTGACCAAGCTCCACTTACTCTCCTACTCCCACTTTGTTTCACAGCACTTCCCACCTTGCTATATTACATTTGCTGCATCATTATGTTATGCTATGCTATTTTACACTGTGTTGTGTTGTCTTATATTATTCTTCACATGTTCATTGACCATGTCCACCCACATCTCCACCCACCAGAATGTGAGTTTTATGAGAGCAGGGACTTGTGTTTCCCACCGGATCCCTGGTGCCTAGAACAGTGCCTGGCACACAGTAGAAACTCAAAGTGTTCACTGAATAAATCAGGGCAGCCCTGGACTGCATGTGAATTGCTGCACCCCAGGTCACTGGTCAGGCCTGTAGGGACGCCAGCCACCCTCTCAATGGAATGTCTCTCCCTGGCTTCAGTTCTTCTCCTGTCTGGGCTGCCCCCCCCCTTTTTTAAATATTTATTTATTTATTTATTTATTTATTTATTTATTTATTTGAGAGAGAGAGAGAGAGAGAGAGAGAGAGTGGGACAAGGGGGAGAGGGAGAGAATCGCAAGCAGACTCCTTGCTGAGCACAGAGCCTGACACTGGGCTTGATCTCAGGACCCTGAGATCATGACCTGAGCCGAAATCAAGAGTCAGACGCCCAACAGACTGAGCCACCTAAGCACCCCTGGGCTGCCCGTTTTTGATCTCATCTCAAACTCAACACATCCAAAGCCAAATGCCCCCCTTCCTCTCCCAGACCTGTCACTTCTGCCCTGGGTGGCTTTTCCAGCTCTGGGACAGCACCACCACTCACCCAGAGACCCAAGCCAGAAGCCTGCAGCTCCTGCAGATGTCATGTCTCGAATGTCCCTCCTCCCCACCCCACCCCACTCCCACCTGACGCCCAGCCTCCATCTCTCACCTAGGCCACCTCTACAGTCCCTGGCCTCCCCGCAGAGCTCCCCCATACACCATTCTCCACCCACAGGTATCTTGGGCCTAGAGGGATCCCTCAAAGTGCAAAACCGCTCTCCTGTTTAAAATCCCACCTCTGGTCTCCCTGCCCTCAGGACAAAGTCCCAGTCTGACCTCATGTCTAATGCCTGCACCCTTCCCCATGTCTCACCTCTCTCCTTTGCCTGCTCCCCTTGAGGCAGCTGCTCCTCTGGCCTTCCTGAACTACCTACAGATCCTACACAACTCATGTGACACTGTGCCTCTGAGCCTTCCCACCTTCTGTGCCTCCATCAGAAGCCCTCCCTCCACCTTTGCTGCCCACAAACTACTCATCCTCCAAGATGTAAGGTCAGCCCCTATTCCCGAGTGCCCCATCTTCCTGCAGCACCATGTGGTAGAGCTGTCAGTGGCCGTGCATCCCCAGCAGGCTCGGAGCCCCCTGAGGGCAGGGGCCGGGCCCGGGGGGACACAGGAAGCCCGTCCTGCCCAGACATATTCCACCCCTCCGTCATGCTTTTGCCTCCCAGGCACCACCACGGAAAGCCAGGCCCCTCCAAGAGGCCACGGCGGGGGCTCACCTCTATCACTGTAGTCATCTACAAGGATGACTTCTTCTAGCAGGATGTCTGGGGACGTCTCGAGGACACTGTAAACTGTCCGGAGGAGGGTCGACCAGGCTTCGTTATAAAACGCTATGACAACAGATGTCGTGGGCAGATTATCATAATCATATTTCTTCTCTTTGCACCTGCAAATACAAGACAGTTTCAGGAATCGAGAACCCGCTGCGGACCGTGTGTACCAGGCCCAGGCTGGTGCTGGGGAGGGAGGCGCAAAGGGGACACCGGTCACAGTCTCGAGGCCTCTTCCTGGGAATGGAAAATCATCTGCTGGCATCTTCCAGAGCCCCCCATCCCCACCCTGTGTTCCACTAGGAACCCTAACAGATTCTAAGAAAGACTCTAAAATGACACCCTATAAGCTTGAATGGTGGGACGCCGTTTTTAAGCTTTAGAGCAATTTTCAGATTTGAGCGACAGACAAGCTAAGCAGACCAGAAGGGAGGGAGACTGCCACTCTCTCACCGGTCTGCTCCCTTCTGACCCCATGGCCAACTGCCAGGCCTGTGCTCAGACCGTGCCCTCTGCATGGAGCATCCTTTCCTCATTTCTCTACCTGGCAAACTCTCTGTCCTCCTTCTGTCCCTGGGCCTGAGGGTGCAGGCAGCTGCTGGCTGCAGGAGGGGCCCCCAGCCACGCGTCCCTTTCAGCAGGTGTTGCTCACCGTGCTCTGGCCGCTTGCTGGAGTCTCACTGCCCTCCCAGCACCACCCCAGCTGCGCACCTCTGCTCACAAAAGCAGTGCGCTGGCCGCAGAAACTGGAGCGGCCACTAGAATGCTAGAACAGTCTGGAAGGGCTCTGGAGAGGACCCTGACTAACCCCCCCTTGAGTACCCACGCCACCCCTCAATCCACTCTGTGATGGCCTGGGGTGGGGGGGTAGGGTGAGGGGATGTGCCTTGACTGGCAGTGACAGGAACCAATAAGCTTCCTCTTTCTTTAGTAGGGTTTCCTGTTACTTTACAGGGAAGTTTCCCTACTTGACAGAGAATTCTCTCCTCACAAGAGCTGATGACAAACTCCCAGGGTCATCCTAGAAACTGGGCCGTGCCTGGAACTCATCAGCGAGAAATGGCCAGAGAGGGGCAGGAACAGAAGCCCAAGAGGGGCACCTGCAGGGCCCTGGGGCTGGAAGGGTGGGCTGGCAAAGCAAGAGGGGCACGCAGGCTGAAGAGAGGACAGGCTGCCTGGACAGAAAGAGGGCCGGGGCACATCGAAGAGATGCAGAACGTAGCAGTGTGAGTAGTGAAGCTAGCTCTGTGAACTGTCTGCCACGGGCCAGGCGATGTACCAGGGGGCCCTTACCAGTCAGTCACCAAATATCTCCTGAGAGCCTACTAGGTGCTGGGTTTAAAAAAACAGCAATAGGGGTGCCTGGGTGGCTCAGTTGGTTAAGCAACTGCCTTCGGCTCAGGTCATGATCCTGGAGTCCCGGGATGGAGTCCCGCATCGGGCTCCCTGCTCAGCGAGGAGCCTGCTTCTCCCTCTGACCCTCCCCCCTCTCATGTACTCTCTCTCATTCTCACTCTCTCAAATAAATAAATAAAATCTTTAAAAAAACAAAAACAAAAAAAACGAGCATCAACTCCCCTGCTCCCACAGAGCTTAAATGCAAGGGTACAATAATCAAGTAAGCAAACATATCAGTAATTTCAGTAGGCGATGGTGCTAGGAAGAAAAGCAGGATGCGAAACAGAGCAACTGTTGAGGGGTGTGGGAAGGGGGAAAGGGAGTAACCACAGAACAGGTAATCAGGGAGGGCCTCTTAGAGGAGGTGACATGGACGATGAGACCTGAATATTGAGGGACCCGGTCCTGCAAAAAGCAGAGAGAAAGCCCTTTAGGTATGCACTTTATTTCTTTGTGGTTTTTCTCCCTTTATTTCATTATGAAAATTTTCAAACATACAAATGGTAGAGAGAATATTATAAGAAAGTCCTGGGACCTTTGGCCCGACATCAACAATTCTCAATGCATGGTCAATCTTGGTTCACCTAAGCCCTTACCCACTCCCTCCATCCCAGACCCCACATAGCACAGCATCCATAAATATTTCAATAGACCTAAGAGATAAGGACTCTTTTTTATAATAAAACACAATAAAGCTGAAACACCTTAAAAAAACTAGTGATTCCTTGGCACTACCATATCCCCAATCTACAGTATTTCATAAAAATTAAGATGCCAATGGTTGGAAGACACACCATTCTTTTAAGAACCTCTAAAAGGACACATGTCACCTAACTGTAGGATGTGTTGATTTTAAGATGTCTCCAAATCTCAGAAATGTTTAAATATGAAAAAAAAAGACTTAAAATTAATGACATTAATACTTTAACTCAAAAACACGTGCTATGTTGGCATTTATTGAGACGGGGCTCAGCGAGGTGAATAACATGGGCAGTTCACAGAATGCCGGAGGGTGTGTACCTGGCCGAGGTCCTTGGGCCCAGAGCCCTTGTCTAGGGTTCTGGCTCGCTCCCACCCCCCAGGGCATTCAGGGCGAGAAATGGCCAGAGAGGGGCAGGAACAGAAGCCCAAGAGGGGCACCTGCAGGGCCCTGGGGCTGGAAGGGTGGGCTGGCAAACACCATCCCTGCCTGCCTAGCCCTCCTTCCGACAAGCCATGGGCAATTTCTCCTGTGCTTCCTCTCAGGGTCCTGCTCCAGGCCCTCTTCCTGAACGTCAGGACAGCTTCTGCAGAGGGCTCTGCTGTCACTGGGATGGCTTTCGCACACCAACAGCCTTCTCCGGGAGACTCTGTGGGAGGCTGGCTCTTCTCAGCCACCTTTACATTCTTACTCCTGCTGCGTTTGCAGGCCCGGCTCTGGACACTTGAGGAAAAGTCAGCCGAGGCTGCAAGCGTGGCAGCTCTGGTATCGTGAAGCAAGAGGGCATCCCCGGCAGCCCGAGCAGCAGGACCTGAGTCCTTGGACATCATGGGCTTCCAGCCCAGTGCATAGAAGCCGTCACTTAGCACTGCGCTTCCCAGAGGAGAGTCCAGCCCGCACTCCAAGGGAGAGAAGGCGGCTCCATCCTTTGAAGGGAAGGATAGCAAAAACTTTGTGGATATGTTTTAAAACCACCGTGCAGGGTCAGAATGTAGCAGAAGTGAGAGTATGAGTCTTCTCATATCAGGTCCTAAGATGCTGAAGTTTCCTCTTTGTTCCTGCCCACGGACCACCCATTCTGGGGGAAGCCAGCTCCATGCAGTGAAGCGAGGAGACTCAAGCATCCTTTGGGGAGGTCTCTGTGGTGAGGGCCTCCAGCCAACAGCCGTCCCAACTGTCCAGCATGGGATGAGCCCTCTTGAAAGCAGATCCTCCAGCCCCAGTGAAGCCTTGAGATGATGAAAGCCCCGGGCAGCATTTTTTTGACTGTGATCTCATGAGAGATCCGGAGCCAGAACCACCCAGCTAAGCCACTCCCGAATTCTTGACCCACAGAGATTATGTGAAATCACAAATGTTTATTGTTGCTTTAAGTTACTAAGTGTATGGCACTGCATACGCCAAAATAAATCACAAGGAATCTTTCAGCTAAGCCCAAACTGAAAGATGTTTTATAAACCAATAGGCCTGTACTCTTAAAAAATGCTGGTGTCCTAAGAGACAGAGACAGGCCTAAAGAGACACAACAAATAAATGTCACCCTTGATTCTCAATTAGATACCGGGTCAGGAAGAAAAACCTGCTCCAAAAATTGGCACAGTTGAAAAAATCCAGTATTGTATAAACTTCCTCAATTTGATAACTACATCATGGTATCACGAGAGAATGTCCCCGTCCCTAGAAAATGCATGTGGAAGTAACAAAGGATCAAGGGTGTTTATTGCTGAAATTTACTCTCAAATGTGTATAATATTATAGCACAGAGAGAGAGAGAGAGAAACAGAAATTAAGTAAATGGGGCAAAATAATGAATGGATCTAGGTGAAGGACAAACAGGAGTTTCTTATGCTATTCTTAAATTTTTTCTGGCTTTGAATTTTTTCAAAATCAAAAGTGTCATACAATAAGAAGAAAAAACTGTTAATGTTGCCAAGGGTATATCCAAGCACCGAGCCAATTCTGATTGTAAAAATATGTATCTCGAGCTTAGTGGCCCTGACTAAGGCCCTCTCCTATCTCATTCTTTCCCACTTCCACCAAAATTGCTGCCCTCCTCCAAATACATGTTACAACAAATGGAAAACATATATATGTATAAACATATTAATAATGTATCTTCATTTTAAAAGCCCCTGACTCAGCCAGGGTGCATGAAAAAGCTATGTAGCACTGAGTCAGAGCCCACTAGAAGATTTGGAAATAATTAATTGCTTATACTCCATGAAAAAAAAAATGTGTTTCTGTGCAACCTAAAAATAAAGAGTTTATTTAAAAAAAGCAAAAATTTAGTTCCAAATGCACACAGGTCCAAGGAGGAATGAATGGAAATAAGGACAGTAAACTGAGGTTTTTAAACATCAAGTTTTATTCAATTTAAACAACTGTCCTTTCGTGTGAAATCACATCCTTACTGTTCAGTATTAAAATGTGTTTCTTCTAGAATGAGAGTAGTAGGAGGGCAGAAAAAGCTCTGCTTGACCAAATAACGCCGGGACCAGATGTCTGTCTCTCCTCAGTGTTTTTGTTTATGTGTTTTCACTGCTCTGCAAAACCCCAAAGCCCAAGGCCACTGTTCTAGAATGTCTAGGTACTCTATTTGTGTCCCTTTAAATCAGAAGAGTGCTGGGTACCAGTTGGTAAAACATACACAGAGCTTCAAAATGTTCCTCTTCTCTTTAATCTCATATCAATATATCGAAGAACTTCTCACCTAAGGTAATCATCAGAGATACCCCAAAGGAAACCTGTGATTAACAATTTTTCTTTGTAACATTATTTATAACAGCAAAAAGCTATAAACAATTCCAACGGTCTAACAAGAAAATGTGAAACACGGGGCAGCTGGGTTACTATACCATCCAAAACCACGTTTTCAGGGACTATTTAACAGTAAAGGAGAATAACTTCATTGTAACGGTAAATCACAAAAAAAAAGGGTACAAATCTATAAACAGCAGCATGCGTGCACGAGCATGCTCCCACACAAACAATACACAGTAGAAAGAAATATGCCAAAAA